AACATACTGTTAGAAAGAGAGGCTATGCGACGCTGTGGCAACGAATGAAAAAGTCTCTGAATGTATGAATCAGTCAGCTGTAAGTTGTATAGGATGTTACAAATTTTGTTTCTTTTTTACTTAACTAGTTTGTTTGAAACATATTTTATTTAATTATGGATTTTTTAACGTTTACATTTTTTTATTATTATTGCCAAGTAGCGTTAGACGTATGTTTCTTGTCGCGGTTGTAACGACACGCTGTATATGGTGAGATGTCAACATTAAACAGTATGTTGAGCGACTTGACCAATGATCGAATTAATAGTAATGGCAAGTTTTTTTAGCTTATTGTAAATATTTTGAGGAGTAATAGAGAATGAGTTTGGATAAGGGAAACGTTTCTAGTTATTGTACGATCTTTAATAGTTCCGGTACTTTACGTGATCTCTTTTTAGGAAAGAAATTATTCCCTTAATAGTTAAAGTTAGTATAATTAGTTTAACAAACTCAAAATTACGCACATGAAGAACACTTATGATTCCCAGTTCCCTCCCACCTGTTACCTAGACATAACCACATATATTGCCGTATTTGAGGTAGTACTCTAAGTACTCTCTTAGAAATGTTCCTAACTTAACCTGTTTACGTAAGAGGCGCAGTAGTAAGCGATAACATGCGCGTGCGAATTGCTATGATGTTGCGTCAGATTGATAACCCAGAGAAGAGATTCGAAATTCTATTATCGACACTGCGTGGTCATCTTCAGGTTTAAAGTTTATCAAACATTTCATAACACCAAGACACTTAATTCTACTGATAATGTTTTTAGTTAATTTGACAGTAAAAGATAAGAATACCGTAACTTCCTACTAGAGGACGTCATTGTTACGTATTAGGCGCATGAAAGTCATGAGTTCTTCGTAAAACCCTAATAATCATTATTTACATACAATTACATAAAATACCACATTCCATGCGCATTTATACTTATTTATAGTTGCTCTTAATAGCTATTAATGATGAATAATTAAGAAATTGATACTTATCCATAATATAATCTTTTTTATTGATTGTGTTGCCAATATTGATGACTCCATGGCGCAGTTGCCAAGGTATTGGCTTCGGCAACGGGGGTCCTGGATTCGATCCCCACACGGGACAACTATTTGTGTGACCCACAGATAGTTGTTTCGCATCTGGGTGTTTGTCCACGTGAAATGTATTTTGCAAAACATCCTTACAACACAGGATAATGTTATCCTAAAGTAAGGGCAATGTTTTAAAAAAATGTAAATGTGAATGATTTCTTTGAAATTTATTTATTTAAAAAATATTGTTTACACCCGAAGTTAAGGCTAACAAAAGGAAAACTTAATTCTAATAAGCATTCTCGTCCAGTCGACCCTGGGAGTAAAGAAAATTAGACGCAGGTGCACAACAAAATACGAAATAAATAAAAAACAAATAAATAAAATAAAACAAAATAAGCAAAGGTACATTCTGTAGAAATATACATTACATAAACATAAATGCTATATACACATATTAAATTATTATTGAGCTTTTTGCTAAAAAAAAAAGAAAATGTCGCTTCAGCATTCTTCTACTGTTATATATAAAGGATATGTAAAATCCTCGTTAAAGTCTAAGTTGCAATACATGTGTCATGTTCACAGTTAATGGAATTCCTAAAGCGACTGAATAAGCACATTATAAGTCGTGGCAAATAAATAGTCATCATAAAATGTCATACTCACAATTTTGTGCGATACTAGGAAGAGAATCAACATCTATTTAATTTCTTCCATTACTAGGTATTTTTAAGACACGGATTACAAAACACAATATAAAACACATCACGTCCCTTATGATTATTATTAAGCGAAAAAAGGTCAACAGCGCGCTGGTGAATTAATGTTTTAACTTTTAATAAATATATATTAATGGAATGGTGTAACTAAAAAGTATCGTTGTTTCTTATAATCAATGTTTCTATTGTATTCGTTTCATGTATAATAAATACGACATGAAATAATTAACATACTGAAGGATATTAAGATTTTCACAGCAACCGAGTGATAACTGATACGTAATCGTGTCTGTACGTAAATATTTGTTACATGTACTCCCATTTCTAAACAACATTGAGCCATTTGTTGTCAAATGAAAAATGAAATGTGTTTTTAAACAGGGATCGCGATAATCTTTGATCTTTCGCCGTTCTAGATGACATTTAAATAAGAGAGAGTCCAAGAGCTAGTAAAAAAATACTGTTATAAGAAAAGTTTTGAATAACAGTTCAAAAAAGTAAACAAATAATATTTTAATAACATATTTTATATATAAAATAATAAAATCTTAACTTTATTATTGATTTCATTGACGATCCGATTGGCGTGTAGTTAACCTGCCTGTTGCGCCAGAGAGTGTGGGTTCTATCCCCACCACTGGAAAAATATTATGTAATGAACATAGTGTTTTTCCAGTGTCTGGGTGTTTATTATATATGTATTTATTTACCAAAGAAAAGTATGTTTATCAGTTTTATAGTACCCATAGTAAGAAGCGTTGCTTAGTTTGGGACTAGTGAACGTTGTGTAAAATGTTTTTGAAAATGTATACTTTATTACTTATTGTTAGTGCAAGTCTCTGAACTTAAGATCAAACTTAAAATGTTCATAATAATTTCTTGTATTTACGCGATTACACATTATAAATGAAACTAATTTTACGGATTTATCGCGTTTCGAACGTAAAACTGTAAAGGGTTCGAAGCGTCGGGAATTAAAATTCAAAATAAACGCGATAAATCCGTAAAATTAGTTTCATTTAAAATGTTCATCATTTGTAGATCAATTTTTGAAAAGTTTTCGCTGGTGCGGTATTCAAACCAGAGCCTTATCGGAAGACGCAAATTATTATCCCACAAACAACGAAAGTTTTAAAAATAGTCAAATTTTAATTTTTTATTTAGTTTTAATGCAGTGATAAATTTATTAATTTGTAAGCAGAGGCTTAAGCTAAGGTCAGAAAAGGAACTGTTCTCATTCTCATCTTGTCAAAGAGTTTTTTTAGTTGTCTATGGTAAGTAAATTGGCGATGCTAGTAGAAAAGAAATTTTGGGGACCACGGAGTATTTCACAAATCTTGAAAAATGAGGTCGCTTTTTCAATTTTACTTATATTACACGTTATCACAAAAAAAAATATGTAAATTCATTGGACAGGTTAAGGAAAGGAAAATAAGTAACAGCCTATCTATATTATATATATAAAAATGAATCCCTATTTCCCTTGGTCACGCCATCACGCGTGAACGGCTGGACCGATTTCACTTGTCTTGTTGTGTTTTTTGTTATCAGGAGAAGGTTCCTACGAAAGAAAAAATTTACAAAATTGCGCGGAAAATTAGAAAATTTAAGAATACTTATTTAAGAATACTTAACAACCATATTATATTATTTCTAAATTAACTTCTTTCAGATATTGTTTCCATGTTTTTCACATGGCCACAAGGAATACCAACAAAACTGTTTATATACGCGCAAGAAAAAAAATCAAGAATATTGTATATCATAAAGCATTAGAATAGCTTCTTTTTTATAAATTATACCAATTCGAATTAAGTCATCGTTAAGACAGGACAACGTCTGTCGGGTCAGCTAGTACACAATAAAAATGTACCACCACTGCTCACGAGCAACATTTTTGCGTCAGAGGTCATCGGCCACTTAGCTTAGTTGGTTAGAGCTTTCAGGCGTCTTACCCGGAATATCAAGGTTCGAATCAGTAAGTGAAAGCGTGAAAAGTTATTGTCCATTCATCTCTAAAATTAATATTTAAAGCCTCATCTTAAGTGAAAAGACTAACAGTAAAAACAATGCTAATCTTAAACCAATAATATAATTCTGGTAAAAGTTAACGAGTTCTTGGGCTATGTTTTCAGAATGATAATAAGAGTGTATGTTTAATATTAGGGGCCGTTATCTTTAAGTGAGCCGATTCAACAGATTGAATCTCAGTTACTGTTTGTTATTCGTACCTTTTAGAAATCTAGTGCTGATTCAATAGTGACTAAACATAAATGTAATTAATATATTGGATATATTGTGCCCAAATTACCAGTACCAAAAGGTAAAGAATACTATATATTAGTATGAATTATTAATGGGATTAACATTTTTTAAAGAATTTTAATATTTTAAATTATTTACATAGAAAGTTTGGAGAATATAGCTATTGTTTATTTGTACATTATGGGTGTGAATAAATATGGATGCATCTGTCCTAATTTTTTTATGAATTTAGTGATTAATTATTTCTTAATTTGTCTGATACCAATAAAACTTTCTACATTCAAGTAAGACACCCCGTCTTACTTGAATGTAGAAAGTCAAAGTAAAACTAAAAATAATAATATCGATAGATGATAATTTCTCAAACTACGTTATAGTTTGTAAGTACCTATAAGTTTTAACTTTATTTCATTAAGTTACTTATGTTTATTTGTATAAGTATGTTTATTTTTATGGTAAATTTAAATATTTTCCTAACCCGTAACCGTAAACATTTGAAATACCTACCTAGTTCCAAAAAAAATATTTACACGGTATAAATATATAATTTATATTCTGTAAATCTATTTATCATATATTGTATGTATCATATTTCATAACCGCAAGATTATTTATTTATAACGTTGAATATATCTAAGGGGGGATAAAATAATATATTTCAATTTTTCAGGGGCAGAATGTGTTAAACATATAGATTTCGCATTGACATATTTTATTATTTTATAGGTTATACAAAACCAAAACAATTTATTTAGACCAATAGCAAAGCAGAAGCCGCTGACAGCGCAGCAAAGGATTGGCTTGTATTGGTTGAAGTTCGGAGCGCTGTGGCGCCCCTCCGACCTTATAAATAACAGCGCGAACTCGTACTAGACCTCTTTTCCACAGTATTAATTCGAGGGGATTTGTCGGGTTATTTTTGTGAGCTAACTCCAAATTCAGAATGCCGGAGACTTCAAAAATGAATGGATATGCAAAAACAAACGGTCATAGTTATGATATGGAAGATGGATCAGTGTTTTTATTTACATCAGAGTCTGTCGGCGAGGGACATCCAGGTTAGTTTTTCATTACTTCAGGACTCGTGTGAGATATCAAACGAAAGATGGCCGCCTCAAACATGTGCGCAAATATTGTAGTTAATCAAATTTTTTGTTTTTGTTTTGGTAATATTAAAAATCAAAAGAAGCAAAATAAATATTATATACAACAAACTATAACTTACCAGGAATACGTTGGTGCAAAACAATATTCTGTTACATCATAATAACACGAAGTTCTAGCTCGAGTTAATTGAATAATTATTGTCAATAATAATGTCACCACGTGGTGTAAGATGGTATTTCTGAGTTTATTAAATGAGTTAATGCCTTCTCATTTTAGTTTTATATATTTTTGTGTGTACAATTTTATTTTATTTTTTTAGATAAAATGTGCGATCAAATAAGTGATGCTGTTCTTGATGCGCATTTGAGACAAGATCCTGATGCGAAAGTAGCTTGTGGTGAGTTAAATATCACCCAGTATTATGATATTTTGGTCTACGGCGTCTGAGATTATAATGTTGTAATAATTCCCAGAAACCGTCACAAAAACGGGAATGATCCTGCTGTGCGGTGAAATCACTTCCAAAGCTAATGTTGACTATCAAAAGGTAGTCAGAGAGACAGTGAAACATATTGGCTATGATGATTCTTCTAAAGGTAAGAAAATAAATATCTTGTAATTTAGTTGTTACTAGTTGATAGCATAAAGAGACTTTGGATGACTGCCAAACACTTATATGAGATATATTATGTACTTTGACCTTCGTGGCAGTAGACACTCAGTTATTGTTTTATGAACACTAGGTTTTGATTGGCGTACACTAAACTTGTTAGTGGCTATTGAAGAGCAAAGCCAAGACATAGCAGGCGGGGTTTATCAAAACAGAGAGGAAATTGATTTTGGGGCAGGAGATCAGGTATAAAATTAAGTAGAGTCTGTTGCACGAATATATGGGTATTTTTTAATCCAAAGTTGGGATAATCATTGATGCATGGTCATAATTGGTTTTAAATTTGGTAAACATTGTCATACATTGGGTGCCCACAACCTCTTATAGGTATAAATAGGAGTTCATTAATGAGGTTGTTAAAATACAATATTATAATAAGCATGTTGGGACACCAGGCTTTGACTTCAAGACTTGCAGTGTGATGCTTGCTTTGGATCAGCAGTCGCCATACATTGCAGCTGGAGTGCATGAAAACAGAAATGAGGAAGATGTTGGGGCTGGTGATCAGGTAATATAAATTAAGGGCTAAGTCACCAAGTATAAGGTTTAGGTACTAGGTCCTTATTTTTTGCTATCTATGCATAATACAAATTTTATTGACTGGTCAAAATTATACTTAATTTTGTTGATCATTATAAACTAATTTTAATTAACTTTCAACTTAAAAATTTATATTTAAACTACATCATACGTAAAATTGTTATACCAATTTGATTTAAAAAAAGCATTAAATATAGTGCAATAAACTTTTTTGTGACATTACTAGTAACAGGATTATTCCTTTCCTGAATAATATATAACATACAGATAATTTGAACTTTTGTTTATCTCATGTACTCATCATCTATCATTAATATGGTATCTATCTTTGAGATTTCAGTTTGCCTTCGACTATCATTTTCCCTCATAAGTGAACTAAGTACATTCTCCGATTGTTTGTTTAGGGATTGATGTTTGGATATGCTACTGATGAAACAGAAGAATGCATGCCACTCACGGTAGTGCTTGCCCACAAACTCAACCAAAAGATTGCTGAGCTGAGACGAAATGGTGAATTTTGGTGGGCTCGCCCAGACTCTAAGTCACAGGTATGTCTTTTCCAAATTATTATTGTTAATTATTTCTGCCTGCCATTATAAGTTATGTAAAACTTATGATAAACATTGTTAGGAAAAAAGTCATGCAAGAGAGTCCTAAGGGAATGCATTAAATAACTACACCTATAATATAAATTCAAATTTTTGCTATTTTACAGGTAACCTGTGAGTATGTCTTTGCTGGTGGTGCCACGGTGCCGCAGAGGGTCCACACTGTTGTTGTTTCTCTACAACACTCTGAGAAGGTATAAGAAAATGTGTAATCCAATTTTTTATAAAATAAAATTCAAAATTTGTTTTATATAATGCCGCTACCTTTGAAATTTATTAAAACTGTCATTCTTCCTTTGTATAAGGAAAAAGAAGACATTTTTAATCACAAGCATGTTTTTAAAGGACTAATTTATTTTGTGCCAATGCTCTCTTTGATAAGAAAGTTATCAACATATGTTTAAATTAACATTTTTAAAGATGGATATTTCTATTTTCTTATCGAAATTTATTTTATTCCTCTAGATAACATTAGAAACACTACGTGAAGAGATCCGGGAGAAGGTGATTAAGGAAGTGATCCCAGCCCAATACTTTGATGATAGAACCATTGTCCACATCAATCCATCCGGGCTTTTTATTATTGGAGGACCCCAGGTAAAGATGAGTCATGACTGCATTTGCCTTTTTATGTTTCCTATTATAAGATTTTTAACAAGATATTGTACGAAATCTGTCTTTGATCATTACTATACCTTAAATTAAAATAAGTAGAAATTCTGAATGAAAGATACCATTACCACCACCTCTAAGTTAAGGTGGGATTGGACTGGATATGTCTGTCACATAAACAGTGAGTTGTGGGCTAAGGCCCAGAAGGCCTGGAAAAGATGTAATGATTTTTATCATTTTATAATTAAGTGGCCAGAAAAATAATGTGCAAAGAAGTATGGGTTAAGTGGAGCTTCTCCCATCAATGTGATATTAAACCAATTTTAGAAAGACTAACCAAATCAGTTCTTCTGTCATTTGTTATTGTTATTTTCTACAAATTATTCTTTTGATAATGGATATATTATACATACCTAAATCAATCCATACTTGGGTGGCAGTCCATTATAGTTAGCTATATTATTGTAAAGTTTCGTTAAAATCCATTCAGTAGTATTTGCGTGAAAGAGTAACAAACATCCATCCACAGATACAAACTTTCGCCTTTATAATATTAGTAAGGAAGTAAGGATTACTTATTGTTAGCTAATTGAGGTTTTCAACACAACACCAACATTTTCACAAGACACATTTTATGAAAGTAACTTGTGTGAATTAATTTGTTAAAAGCTCAATGAATAGATGTAATCAATAAAGAAATCACTTTAAATTTTACAACTATAAAGGAAATCATAGGAATCATTGTAGGACCTATCACCTACATTATCTTAGGTCAAGGTTCAACTTTTCCAATTTAGAAACGCGTTTTGTGATAAGATTATATAGTTTATATCATGTAAAGTGAAAATGACAAAATAAATTACTAGAATGAAACATGTTACCAAATGCAGCACTGAGATGTTGATTGCCTTTGTATTTATTAGCCTATCAAGTAAAATTTTATTAATAAGTGTAACTTTGCAAATTCAGTGATAGTTGACGTCTCTCAATACCACCGCAACACAGCTGAACTAAGACAGAGCACACAACAGAGTGTCATATTGGCACAAATTTACATTTATTAAATGAGCACCAATGTAATTAAATTGATATTATTGCAACCGCATCACCAGCCCTTCAAACTATGGGCTGTATAAAAACTACGTAATATTTAAATTACAGTAGTTCTTATTATATTTTTTTTTAAAATGTAGTACTAATAGTCTTTAAAAAATAATCCTACTACCTTTTTTCCTTTTAGTTTAATTTGAGACTCATGACCATTTTATTTGGATATGCCAAAAGACAATTTATGAGCTGTATGACTTTTAAAAGCTATAAAAATTTAATTTTAAAAGCTTTTGAAAGCTATAAAATTTGCAAATAATAATTTTAAATGTACTGTATATGTATTCTATATTGTCATTGAGCAATTTATGTTCAAATATCAATTAAAAGTGCTAATGCTTAATTTTTAAAGAAGGTTAATACAAAACAAATGATGGAAATTAACATGGATTGGAACGAGGGCGATGCTTATGGGATGATCCACAGATTTGCGATTGCCCTCATACAATTACCCAAGGACAATCTGTGAAAAAGGGATTTTTGGTAGTTATACAAACAGTAGTGAAAATACATTGATAAATGTACTCCCTTTAATTAATATTCAAAGTTAATTAGCGTTGTTAGTATGCTGGAAAGGATATAACAATAGATGCGCCAAGCATTGCTTCAAATGCTAAATAACAATGTAGAAAGAAGGCGTTAAGATTTTCGTTGCTGTGGCTATCAGCCGTTTAGCTCAGTGGTTAGAGCGTCAGGCCGCGAATACCGAAGACGTGGGTTCGATTCCCAAAGCGGCGACAATCTTTTCGTACTTTTTCTACATGTTTTAATAATAGCGTTGTTAGGTTATTAAAAGTAGTTTCATTGCATTTATACCATGTAAGCTGCTTCAGTGTTCCTAATAAATTAGACTAAATATGTGCCTAATCCACCACAAGCCACAACCGTCCATGCTTCACCCTGTCATAATGTTTCGTTATAAATAAATAAGTAAATATTTTAGGCCACATTTTTACACATTTTCTAGTCCCAGACTAAGCAACGCTTGTACACATGGGTACTAGAAAACTGATAAACATACTTTTCTTTTGTAAATAAATACATATTATACATAATTATATAAACACACAGACACTAGAAAAACCACTATGTTCATCACACAATATATTTCCAGTAGTGGGGATCGAACCCACACCCTCTGGCGCAGTAGGCAGGTACACTACCCACTACGCCATTCGGGTCATAAAACTCGTGTAAACAGTAAAAACAGGTCCGTTGCATCACTAGTTTTTGGCAATAGTGGGTATACGCTTCCGTTATAAAACTGGAGGAAAAATAAACGGAGGTCCGTTGCAATAGTATACAAGCGTGTCGTTACCATCGCGACAATAAATAAACACACGTCTAACGCTACTTGCCAATAATCATAAAAAAATATTAACTTTAAACGAAATCCATAATAAAAAAAAATATTTTTCAAACAAAGTAATTTAGTAAAAAAGAAACAAAATTTGTAACATCCTATACAACTCGCGTCACAGCGTCGTATTACAAGCCTCTCCTTCTAACAGAATGTTTTGTCTCTTTTAAATTCATTCAACCTATTCATATGCTTTGTGACCTTTACAAATGAACTTTACGTTACGCTTTTATAGGTAAGGCTGTTCTAAAATTCTTTGTTTTGGAAAATTTAATAACTCTGTAAATATTGATGTTTAAAGAATTTAAATGTTTAATACAACTTTAAAAAGTTATCCCTATATATATATATATATATATACGATACGCATATATATATATATATATATATATATATATATATATATATGCGTATCGTGCGTATTTATTGTCGCTATGGTAACGACACGCTGTATATGCTTTGTATTGGGCAGTCGGACGCGGGGCTCACCGGGCGCAAGATCATCGTGGACACGTACGGCGGGTGGGGCGCGCACGGCGGCGGCGCCTTCTCCGGCAAGGACTTCACCAAGGTGGACCGGTCGGCGGCGTACGCGGCGCGCTGGGTGGCCAAGTCGCTGGTGCGCGCCGGCCTCTGCCGCCGCTGCATGGTCCAGGTGCGATGCCCCGATGTGGGAGGGTTACACTTCTGCGTTTCGTGATTACTTTATTGAAAGGCGACAACGCGTCTGCAATCCCACGGGTGTTGCAGATGTTGATGGGTTGCTGTTATCGCTTAACATTAAGCTCGCTTGCCACCTTTTAACAAGGATATGGTGCCTAGGTTGTGTTTGAGTTGCCAACTATTAAGGTTGGCCTTGGTTCCCTTTGTCTATGTGATCGAAACTTCTATACGTTGGTAATACTTCCCCAAACAAGTAGTACCCTTCAGACAGCAGCAAAAGCCTTTACTACAGCTCATTAGTTACCCCGTCATTTTATTTTTGTAATAAACTTAGAAGTAATAAACCTCCATATATTTTTTTTACAATACTGCTTATCGTTTTCGTTACTTTTCTTAACATATTTTTTAATATATTTATCTGTTCTTAAACCTTGTTCATAAAATATTCTTACAATTTAAATACTATCTACAAATTTTCTTTAGGTTGCCTATGCGATTGGAGTAGCTGAGCCACTCTCTATCACGGTGTTCGACTATGGCACATCGCACAAAACCCAACAGGAACTACTCTCCATTGTACAGAAGAACTTCGATCTTCGGCCCGGCAAAATTGTTAAGTGAGTATACTTTATTGTACTTTTAATTCAATATTACAAGAAAATAAGGTTAACTGAAAATTTTTTTTTCATTATCGTATTAATAATTTTATCTTATTGTCTTTACAGGGAGCTAAATCTCAAGGCGCCGATATATCAGAAAACGAGTACTTACGGACACTTTGGCCGAGAAGGGTTCCCATGGGAGAATCCGAAACCACTCATTGTAGATTGACTTCAGAAAGAGTAATTAGAATATTGTAAATATTCCACCAGTATGTTTTAAACACTTAATCTACGTGTGTTTTTGTAGCGAGAGCACGGAGATATTATCGCTGATGTCTCTCTATAGGCTATTATTAGTAATGCGACGAAATCTCGCGAATGAAACTGCCTTATGTACGACGGTTGCATTTGCGCGATTCAGTGTATGTTATTGTTAAGTATTCGTTAGTATAGATGCATAGGCGTAACAGGTGCCATCATTTCTGAATTTGAGTTAGTTCAGGGGGGTTTTCAATAGGCAGTTCTATCATTTGAGACACGGAAAGTCCCTCCGCTGTTAGCTTGCCTACTTCCAGATGTGATTTGTGAAATTTTAACATTTAATGTATGAATTCACTGCTTAAATAGTATATTTTATTTGAACCACTTCTTTGAGTAAAGTATGAATTGGCGACTTTAAATGATGGACTGCCGACAATCTCGAATGTTCTATCTACATTGAGCTTTATGATATCCCGGTAGAGTATACTACTTCTCTGGTCGCGTCACAGTGGAGCGAGTGCGTTTGGGAACGATGAGTCCCGAACGTTCTCGTTCTACTGCAAATCTTGTGCTGCTCGCCGTGGCGTTGCCCCCAAGATAATATTAAGATATTTAGATAAGTGTCAGTGATTTTTCTCCCATTTTAAAGATACGTTAGCCAATCGGGGCATCGCCTCCCGTGCAGCGCATTTTGTGTTGTGTTTCCGAAAAGGATCGAAGTGGAAAAGAGCCATTTTGAAAACACACCGACTCGTCCAGGGCAGTAGTGCACTGTGCATTTACAATAAGAACAGCCCTCAAACAGGGCCCATTGGTAACTTGACATTTAATGAAATTAGAACTAAACTTAGAAATTCGACTATTCATAGGGCGGGTAGCAATTACATTGTGATTATTTTTTTTGATCTGTCTCGAGCCCGTTGAAAAGTTTCTATTTAACTTGCTGTGGATTTTGAATTTGTCAAAATGTGAAATTTCGACTAATAATAAATAAAAGGTGTTCCCGTTAATCGGGATTAAGTGGGTTTGTTTTTTTTGTCCTTATTTAGATGTACCTATTTTAAAAAAATCACGTGCACACTGAATGTGGTATAAGTGAAACTTCTTGAACATTAAGGTGCGTAAGCTATTTTACATTGTGCCTACTGAAATATTATTTCACAATTTTGCTATTGAAAATTCTTATTTTTAGTCTAGTCCATATGAAAATATCAATTTTGGAAGATAAAATGGCGGAAAATTTTTCAACGCTGCCAGGACCTGCGTTTTTTGGGTAATCATCCAGGCCAGGCGCTCTGGCCAACTGGTCTGAGCCTACGCCACAAAATATTCGACAGCAATTTACTTCCGTTTTTTTCCCATTTAGAGCAGTGCTTGGTGCCACCTAGTGAGCTAAATTACAGTTCGTCGCCATTCAAATATATTTTACAACGGATATTAATATACGAACGAGAGATCGCCTATGCTATTGAGTTAATAAAGTTATAACCGTTGAAAAATTTTCCGACGCTGCCGGAATCCGAACCCGTTTCATCTGGAAAACGCTCTAACCAACTGAGTGGCGTTGGGACTAAAAGGAAGTGGACGTATATTTAAAAAATAAAACATTTATTATTCGTTCATGAAGATAACCACTTCGCGACCAATCTTCTTGCCGCTTGCTGGGCACGGGTCATTTTGATTGTGTCAGTGCTTTGCCAGCCTAGCATGTCGAAACAGTGTGACGCTCTACAAGAGAAATACATGCATTAGAAAAATAACAATTTGGAATAATTATATAAATTCACTAATGTACTGTACTTAAACTTTTATTGATGTGAATACCAGTTGCATTAATGCGCATAGTGCAGATTGATTAACAAAACTGCACGGATTGAATCGCTTTAAATGCTCGACTCCCCCGTCCCTCTGGGGCGGAGGCTGTCCCTACGCTCCTCCGGCTCTATAAAAACTAGGGTAGGACAACTTGTCCACGTAGAGTCAGAGTCAATCAATTCGCTTCTTTCTATTAAAATGGTTTTCAACGTTACGGTGTCTGTATAGTATTACTTTTGTGTTCGACATTAAATAAAATCAATTTGTAACAATGCCCAACTCGACGGACGTCAATGGCAAGATAAGTCAAATAATTAAATGATATTGTGAAGTCCGAAAGTTCGGTCGCGTGGTGGACTATGCTCTAATACCCCATACAGAGGAGGCCTTTACCTAGTAGTGGGATATATACAGGTGGTTTTTTATTTTATATCCGATTTGCATTTAAAAGTCGCGGTATTTGCCTTTACTACTGGCAAAAGTTTAATCAAATGTATGATCAGTACCTATCTCTTTTTATCCATTAGGGTCAAAAAGTCATAAGAACTAGTACTAAAATGACGAAAGTGCGTTTACCTTGGTACCGTGTATGTCGGTGACCCCTCCTTCAAATCTTGGTCATACACGCCAAGGGCATGCCAGGGATCGACAGTGCCGTGTATATTGATGGTGCTGTTCACGTCTGGCTCCAGTCCGCCAAATATGAGATTAACTCGATCGACAGCATCGAATATAAAAGTTTCGTCGAATCTAAAGATGCAAAAGAAGTTAAATTAAATTAATTCTCTATGGTAATTTATCTATTTAATTGTTTACCATTCATATAAATATTTATGCGAACAATTGAATGTCGTCATGTCTCGTCACGTCATCGCGTACTTTTTATTATTTGCTATTTGAACCTGCGACCGATTATCAAATTTATTGAGAGTAATAAAAAAAATGGGCCGTCACAGGACGCCTGGCAGATGTGAAACATCGACATTATTTTGTTAAAGTAATATGCAGAAAAGAACAGATTGTGATAGGAACTAAATATGTCATAATGATAAAATAAAATATTACGATTTTTTTTTCCAGATAACGATGACTATTTATTGAATAAACATTTATTTTCATTAAATACAAAAATTTACGAATTTATTTCAAATCGTGACTAATTAATTCGTTTAATCAGTGACTTCGGTAATAGTACACACAATTAATTAAAGTTAATTTAAATAATTAATAAATAGTTATTAACAATTAATTTAAATTTGAGTAATTAATCGTACACACTACTGCATATAGACTGTATATATATACCATCATATAGCGTGGCGACGCGTCGCCACGCCGGTTTTACGTGCAGCTATAGATGTTTCACATCAAAAAAAATCGTCGTCTTAATTAGCGCATTATCATTAACGATACAAACGAGAACTTGTTAATGATTAATTTGGAACGTTGGAATTACCTTTGATCGTAAGCTTGTTTGCAGACGTCGACATAAAAAGCAACATCGAGCCATTCCAACTGGTCGAAGACTGTGCCAGATTGCGGTGCAATTTGGAAGTATCCGTACTCAGTGCACGTTTGGTAGTACCACGCTCGGGCTGGGAGGAAAATCACCTCATTAATAATCACATATTCGGGGCGAAGGAGGTAGTCGTGTGATTGATTCACAAGTTTTGTCATTGCAAACTTAAAGTAAAGTAACAGCCTATAAATATCTTACTGCTGGGCAAAGGCCTGCTCTGTACAGAGGGTATCAGGGCATAGTTCACCACGCGGCCCCACTGCAGATTGGCGGACTTCACATATCTACGAAATATTTTTTTTATTATTTCGAAAATATGCAGGTTTCCTCACTATGTTTTCCTTGACCGCCGAGCACGTGATAATTCAGCACTTAAAATTAACAATTTCATCACATCAATTCAACAACCGGGATCGAACTCAGGTTGCCCGAGTAAATATAATTAAAGGTGAGCGCCGGGACACTGAACTATCACGAGTCTTGCAAACTTAGGTATGTAGGTCGTACGTCTGATTTAAAAGAAGTTATTTTATTCAGTACTTTTTTAAAATGCTATGTTTCGACCCGTCTGAATTTTTTTTGTAATTTCAAAATCACAGATTGAAATGAAAATAAATAACTCCTTTATTACCAAAATATCAGTGCCAATACCAAAAAAATTGTTTTATATTAAGTGTAGATTAGCACCATCGAAAATTAATAAAAAATTTAGTAATAGGTACTATATCAAAATTACATGTAACACGTACAATTTGATCGCGTTACATTGTAATGGTTGAGAAAAACATCGTAGGTAACCGTCCAACAGGATGTTCCCAGGTTGTTGGCTGCTGCTATGTACCCGCCGATTTTCTCCATTGGTGTTGCCCCTGTAAATATTTTATCGGCGTATAGACTACGTTGAAATTTTATTTAATGCTATAATTAATATTGTGGAGATATGATATCAGTTGATATATTTAAGTCAACATCTATTTCCATTATCATAACTTCATTATACATTTCGCTCAGTAAAAAATTGTCATTATAGTTACTTATTTGTATTATATGTCCAAAGCAATATACTTCCCGGCAATTTGTTTATTTACCGCAACCATCCATTCATAAGTGGTAGTTGTTTCAAAATGTTGTACATTATAGGTACTGATAAGGAATCTTAAACCATCGCACATTATTACTCACCACTTAGCCAAATCATAGGAACAAAACACTTATTAAACACAAGAAAAAACTATTGGGTCGCGTTCTCCTTTCACTGCTACTAAATGATTGTATGCATATATGCTAGTGTTATATTTTTATAGGGGAAAGATTATTCATGCCGTTTGATATGATGAATAGGGTGAAATCTGAATATTGAGACGAATAATTAATAGAATTATTGCATTGTCACGGTGAATATAACGTCGAAAATTCGGTAATATTGGTAGATACATACATATAGGACTCGTTAGGTAATATAAGCGCGTTAAAATGTGTAACTGTTTTTGGGAAAATTTTAATTTGTCAACGGATCATAAATATTGACAGCGTCTTGAAAACTGCTGCAATTGAATAAAAATATTTACTTTTTTAACATCGTACCGTAAATCTCGGTGGCGAAATTGTTACAGATGTTCAAAAGCGTGCCTGGACGGGCCTGCTGCACTGACGTTGAGAAAGTCCACGTAATGAGTCCAGAGAAGTACCCCATGTCGAGACGATTATCGTAGTCCAGCGGCGAGCATAGCCTAAAAACAATTGTGAATTTAAACTTGAAAGCTAAAATAGTTCTTTTGTGAATTTAAAATAAATTGTACGGTTTATGGTTTACACATCTTTTTAGCCTTATCCGAATCTACATTGTATGGGTAAACATCTCAAATTTTATCGATAGCTTTATTTGTGAATCTAGTAACAATTGAGTTTGTCACCTTTTCTATCTCATAAAAGAAGCTATAACATTTCAGCCTATCTTTACCTGTAGGCTTCCTCTAAAGATCGTCTACCAGCTTCAGTCTGCATAGCTGCGACAGTATCCGCTATTCCCTGTCTTATAGTTGATATACATTGGTCGCCACCTTCCGACAAGAACGCGTCATGAACCACTTCTAAATAACCTGCAATTTTAAAGACTTTCTAGGACCAGAACGGATGGAACAGTAAAATATGGTTAAATTTAATTTTCTATCTCACATATTTCCCTTCATTAACAGACAAGGTGCTGTTTTTTAGACTTCAGAAAACTGTCCAATCGAAGAAATGATGAGTGAGATGAGTGATAAATAAGAATTTTTAGGCCAACATACAATTATACTCTCCAATTGTGTTAATTTCCAGACTAGACAGAATCATCTATTTTAAATAAGATTGTAAACTTATTTGGAAAATCAAATTATTCAATGCATATAAATCTGTCTCACTATTATGATATTTAAAATCTTAACAGTCCGAGTATGATGTGATTTAAAAAAAATTGTTTGAAAATTAGCGTTACCATCGAAGTCGACTTTTGCTTTGATAGGACCACTAGAAGCTACAACTCCTTCAACCAAATGAGGATATCGCTGCTTAAACCATAAAGCCATGTTGCCAGCATAAGAACCGCCGTAGAGGATTATTTTGCTGTCGGCAAATCGAGCTTGCTTCTTTAGTTCTAGAATGAAATACGCTAAATCTGCTAACGCCTGATCGACATTCAGAAAACGCAGATTCTCCGCAGTGAATTCACTGAAACATTCAACAATACATAAAATATTTCATCTGTTGGACTGACAATTTTATCATTGAACAATACCATAAAAATTTTAATTCTCACATCTTTAAAACAAAGTTTAAATTTATTTATACTCACTTATACGGCAGCGTCTGTCCGTAATAGCGATGTTCTGTATAGATGAGGTATCCACGGTTCTCCTGCGCCATCAAATACATATTACCAGTTAAAAGCCAGCCCGCAGCGATAGTCCACTCACCGCCCACCATTATGAAGACAGGATAGCCCTCCCCACCAAAGAATTGTTCGTTGTACATGTACCGCTGAAAATAGGTAAGTTAAGTTAAGGTAAGTTGTTAAAATGTTTTCTTGAATTTAGTCCATTATATCCCGTTTAATTGCAGTTGGGTTCCGCACGTTTCGAATTCTTTATTAGTATCCATTATCGAGTGACGGATTATTTTCTGTGGTAAGTGCATGCAGCAGCTTTGGATTTTTTTTTGCAGGAATGGGCAGGCTCGTCCGGGGAAGTACAAAGGCTTTACAGAAGATCGGCGTGAAGTCGATGAATATATAATACTTTAGCCTTTTGTCTGATGAGAGAGGTAACCGGGACTCACTTATTTTAAATGTTGTCAACGTATCTGCAGGTGTCTATTAGGTGTTGTAGATGTCGGTTATCATTGAACACCAATTAAACCGCCTGCTCGCTTGACAATATTGAACTTAATTGAACGCGATAAAATCCTTACACCTACTTTTATTTAATAACTAGCTGGCCCGCGCAACTTCCAACTCACAAATAACTATAGCTCTTTGTCATCTAATAGTCAACGCAATGTCACTAAATAGTTTGCAATAAAATAATATTGGGACTACAAATTGAGATAAAACCTTCTTTATTCTTTCTTTCAAGTTAGATCAAACTGCACACGGTGTGCAAATTTAATTAAAATCTTTTAAAACTTTAGGGAGTCCATCGCGAACAGACAACGAGACATGTAATTTAAATATATTAAGAAGAAGATTAACTTATTTACCAACATTTGTTATTGAGCTTCTACTAGTTTTTCGTTTTACACTAATTTAAGTAGCGTTGTATTATTAATACAACGCTAGTTAAATTTAAAAGTTATCCACTTAAGTGGATAACTTTATATTTAATGATAAACATTTATTTCATAATGGGAAATATAAACTTTAAATAGTAAAATTAATTTTAAACTTAGAAAGTTTTTAAGATGTTATATTCACTATAAAATTTCGCATACTGTACAATTTATTACCAAACTATATTTGAGCACTAAACAATAAACAACTGTCAGCACGTTGTCGTAATGTTTGCAAAACGGATGCTCTTGACTGCGCTCATCCTGTTATTTCAAATTACGGTATCTCTGATGTGAAAAAATAATATATAAGGAGTGTTAACCACTTATAGCGATCCGTCGCTAGTAAATGATTATCACCTCCATTAATTTCAGCAAAACGAACCCTTTGAGGGTTAATGATGCGTTGTTGGCGATAAAATGATGGTGGCCTCCAGTGTTCTTACGCCAGCAGAGGTCTAGGACTCTTAAGTCACTAAATTTTTACTTTACTCGGGCATCATAGTCGATGTAATGTTTAAGTGAAGTTGGCGACACCTAGAACAACCTAGATGGGCTGATGACCTTTGCAAATTTTCAAAAACTGCACAGGTCATCAATATGTAGGTAGGATTGCGCCAGTCTCGGGAGGCCTATATTCTCACTATATACTCAAACGGGCCTATAGACTCAAACGGGCTGATAAAATTTATTCAGCAACAAACCATTTGAAATGTGTCCGCATTCTGTGGGCCGAAGTGGTCAGTGGGCATCGTAAGCCAGCTCTCGAACACGGCCCTCGTAGAGAGATGCCGGGCTGAATCGGGCGGCTGCAGATCTACTCGTATCGGTGGCTCGATAACGCGTGGCTGTCCCAATACCGCCGAAAACAACGCCGCAAAAGTTATTGTCATCATCTGGAGGATGAAATAAAACATAATAATTACAACGGACTTTTAAACTGCATAGTTCTCGGACTGAAAGCCGAAAAAAGGTTCATAAGTGCTTAGCACATATGAGCCTAGTGGCAATTTTAAGCTCCGATTCGTGAAAGATAATTTCCTTTGTGATATTTATGTGATAAGTCAAAAAGGCTAATGCACAATATATTGCGTCATAAATTAAAAATTGTTAAAATAAATGAAAAATAATGAGTAAATAAACGCCTAGCATCAGAGTTTCTGCAAAAATCAAATTATAATAAGTACCGAATTATGATAACATCTGAAACATTTCGTGTACAGTAGTAGGGTCACGCAACATTATTCGCTGTTACATGAATGGACAGGTCCGTCCGGGTAAGTACCGGCGTTAACTGTAAGTGTTACACTTCTGCGTTTCTTCTGGTCAATGAGGTTGCCGGGCCCACTTTATTAAAAGGAGTCAACGCATCTGTAACCATAAGGGTGGGCGGCGGTTATCACTTAACGTCGGGTGAACCGCCAGCTCGCTTGCCATGTTCTCACATAAAAAAGGAACTCCATTTGAATAACACATAGACACAATTTATAAAAATTAAAGTTTTATAAAAAATGATCGTCAAATATTTTAATCACATTGCATATGTATAACTGTATAGCTTTGTTTATTCAACAGCATTCTTTTTAACTCACTTCATACATCCTATGATGAGATTTAAGAAATGATTTATAATGATTTTAAATGATAGAAGATGAAACTGAAAAGCGTATATAATGAAAGTACTGTGTTAAAAATAGTTTCGGTAAATTATTTACCATTTTTATAAAACACATATCACTGGCATGCATTTATGTTCACGTTTGTTTCGTCACTAAAATTAAAATTTACGTTTATCGACTGATTAAAACAGATAAATCAAATTCGATTGCGATAATTTTCATATTAGCCTAATAACGTTTTCAACATACTATTATTTTCAACGCTCTCGAGGTCTAGATTAGCTAATGAAGAACTTCTTAGTATCCAATTAAATCATATCAAATTATTCATCAAAGGATATTTTAAAAAAAAATAGTTCAAGTATTTCTTATTGATAGACTGATCGGATAGTCATCAACAAAAAGGACTTTTTAGCATAGCTTTAATGGATTCTTCGATATCCTCTACAGAAAGGGCAACTATGTATAATATAACGTGATGTTATAAACGAGCCTTTGAAATTGTTTATAAGGATATTTCGGACTGGGTTATTATCTATTAAAATATTATTGAATTACATTATGTTATGTATTGAATAATGGCGATCCTCAAAATCCTACAGATGTTTGATGCTAATGAGCTGTTTAGGATTTTTTAGCCGAGCACTAGCATAGCTAAAAAACCACTAGGCTAAATCCTTTTGCAGACTGAGAATGCATGAGCATTGAAGTGTAAATGAGCCTTGCTACATCTTACTATGGCAAATCATCGAGGGAGTTTCAGTCCTTCCTTACGACACATATTGCATTCACACTACAATAAACCCTAAACAAATTCCAACGTCACGATAAACTTTAATAGACCAAGAAAATTAGACTTTTGATCACACCCATATTTCTTATTACCAGGACGAGTGCTGCTTTGCAAATAAATTGTTAATTTTGCATTAACTTATACAAAGTGTGTATTAAAAATCACTTATTTTTAAACACGTTAAGGTCGCAGGCTGTCGTTTATAATTATTATTGATCCACTTGAATGTATTAAGTATTATAACCACGTTGCAATTTTAACAGTACAGCACATGTCTTAGGTTGACAGTGTACTGAAAAATGTTCTATAGAACATTCTGTATAAGACATCAGATCTTCCAAATCAATCATATGTATATATGTACTAAGGTATAAATCCGTATATAATAAAGTCTCACTTAATAAGACTGATATCTACACTAGTTTTTTATTTGTATGGAAGATAACTACTTAACTTGGAAAAAAGTCTTTCTTTCTGCGTATTTTTCTCCAAACAAGAAATTTTTTTATGTACCTATACAAAGAAAGCTCAAAATATAGTATGTTATATTTTTATGGCATACTTGATTAGCGAGTTCAAACAAACAAAATCTTCAGTTTTATAATAGTATACCGACTCGCACTTGGCCGGTTTTTTTAACTTTGTATAAACTTATAAAAATCATCATTTTACAGAGTATAATATATAATTTACTATAGCTTCATCTAATGCAACTGTAGCTATTATATAGCATTTTATCGCACAAATCTTCAATGTGGTTCTTTATTTATGAACCGATTTAAATAAAACTACCTAAATGTTAAGTGAAGCTTACTACAATGCATTAGTGAAAGTTGCATCCAAATCGTCTAAGCCGTTTCTGAGATTAGCGCGCACAAACACACAGATAAACTGATAAACAGACAAGAATTTATAGTTAATAGTTTATCCCATATATCTTCCATGTACAGACGGTTACATTTTAATTATATGTATAAATAAATTTATTTCTTCCCATACCATTATCATTTATAGTGTTAAGTGGAACTCATTGACATTAGGTACTATTAGTCTAACTGAACCGAAGAAGGCTCGTGAGAGATGTGAGAAGTAAATACCCTCTACAAATTGAAAGGTCAGTAAGTTTTTCAGTTCACCCACATTTATACAATTCATAAAATCATGTCAATACGTGTATGTGTTTTGAAATGTGTTTAAACTCAGCTTTCTTTAATAATATTTTCGATTACAATAGAACTTAATCGAAACACGAAAAAGTCGTCTTCAGATCGCATACAGTCCCCGGTCAAAGGGTTTGACTCTTTGACTGGGAACATGAACATGAAATTTACGTAGTCTAAATTAAAAAGTAGTGAGTTCATCAACTACCTCACATGGGTTGTTTTTAAAGTAATTATTACCAAGGACAGGTAAAAATACCGAAAGTTGAACAACGTAAAAATAATAAGAAAGATTTGCTGAAAATAATATAATATATATCTATTCAATATTGTATGCTATATTTTTTACTCTACTACCTATTCCTATTACAACATTATTTAGAATAAAAATTACAATTGCCAGACATTGCTTTAAATCTAGTTTTCAAATAGGGTTTCTATCGGATATAACTTGAGGTCAAGTTATTTCAAAATATTTTGTATATAAGTAATAATTTCTAATGGTGTCCCCATAAATGTCCATTTCTATTGTAGTATTAAATATAAATCCCAAATAGTTTACATTTGATATAAGGAACAAAGTTCTTACGTATAAGTTAAACAAAAGAAATTGTAAATGTTACCTAACATTTAATATTTTTTTATTATCATTACGACCCTGTCCAATTTTACTGTAAAATATGTCGTATTTGATGAAAGAAAATATTTCCTTATTTCAATTACAGAAGAAAATCTAAAATGATTCTCTGAAACATATATAGAACATGCCATTAATCACACGGTGTGAACAATGATGTTTGAGTTAAAAAGTGGGTCAGTATTATGGTCACCAGTTCACAAGACCTGAGTCATGGCCCAATGTTTTGTATTTAGCGGCCACTGCACTCGTTTTTTTTGCGGCGTACCGCGGCAAATTATTCAATTACGAGAAATTTTAACGGGTTCGTGACGCACACGATCTTCTTGACGGCTCATACACATCATAGTGAATTTGAAACTAATTTATCCCGCTTTGCATTCGGTTAATTCCTTGTTCGCTTTCATGTTTCGATAAAACACGTATGTATGACTAATGAATGTTGTTAGTTTACGAGTAACACTTGGTGAGTGACAGTGAGTATTTTTTTTAAATCTTAACCTATTAAATACTGGGGATTTGTATAACTGTGGTAGGGCCGGGCAATAGCTTCCGCTGTTGCATGAATGGGCAGGCTGGTCCGGAGAAGTACCACGGCCCAGGTAACCCGTAACCACAGTAACCGGGCCCACATTTTTAAAGGTTGTCAACGCATCTGCAAGCCATTGGGTGTTGTAGATATCATTGGGCGGCGGTATTAATTTAAAATCAGGTGAACCGCATGCTCGCTTGACAACTTTTCACTTAAAAATAATAATAATAATTAATATCACATAGCAAATAATATTATGCCCGCTATAAAATTTTTCTACAAAGTGCTTGTAATCGCCCTGAATTGAGAACTGAAATTTCTGTGTTCAATTCGTTTCGAATAAAATAAATTGAATCAGATTTATGACGATTAGGCGGACCTTGTACATAAATACAATAAATAATAACCAGACGAGATTTTCAGCCAAACTTGCAAAGAAAACCTGTATGGGGCTTTTCTTCTAGTGTCGGCCGAAATTATATATATTTATATCTATAATCTATACAGTCAGATTTTACATTACAAACGGTAACTCCGATTACATCTCAGAATTATTCAAAAATTATTTTTTAATTTTTTAAAAGTTAATTATTAAGTTTCTAGATAAAAAAAGAATAATGTTTATTCATTGACATTAAAGTTTGGATGTTTATTTACTTCGACATCTTTGCTCACCATCTTTGAAAGAAATTATATTTTTAATGCAATTTTTTTATCAAGTTCTCAATACAGAAAAGCACTACTGTTATCCAGGTTTATAACTTTCGCAGTTTCAAAAAACCCTTTTTTTACATACACAAGCATTTTAAGAATTGAAATTGTAAATGATTGGACTAACGCCCGGTTTCTGAAACATTGATAATCGTAGATGTCAACTAAATAGATGTCAAATGGCTTTTCAAATGTTATTTCAGTTGCCAAAATGATTGAATTTTTTTTGCCAAAATCTTTGAATTGATCATTCTGATCAATCCAGAGAGTTTAACCATACTTTTAGCACCTCAAATAACATTTGAAAAGCCATTTGACAGCTGCTTAGTTGAAATCTTCAATGATCAGTGTTTCAGTAAGAATCTTATTCCAATTACAACTTTAGCATAGAAGTTACGGATGCAAATAATGACATCTAGAATAATCATTTATTTTTATAAGTAGAAAATTATTGCGTAGTTTTTTATGTGAGAAAGTGGTAAGCGAGCTGGCGGTTCACCTAATGCTAAGTGATAAATTAGGGTTGCAGATGCATTGCTACCTCTTTATAAATTGAGCCCCGGTTACCCCAATCACCATACGCAATGCAGAAGTATAACACTTCTACTTCACGCCGGTCTTCTGTGAGGTCATGGTACTTCCCCGGACGGACCTACCCATTCATGTCATAGTGAAGAATGTTGCGTAGCCTTACCATAGTTATTTGTAAAATTTGGCAGTTCACGCAAACGTAAACTGCAAAATTTTATTTAAATATTGGTCACAGGAAAAACGTACATACGTTCACGCAGTCTTCCTTTTCCGCTTCGATGTATGTTTAATTCTTGACTTAATTAGGTTCAGATACAACTTTTAAACATATCGTTGCAGAAATCTTTAAGGACATTTGTACAGCGAGTACCCATGGCACGTATATTTGTTTGCAGATACATTACAAAGTTTTACCTTCGTCGAATACAATAAACATGGCACTTGTTTCATTTATCATTCAGATTTGTTGCAAACATGCACAACGGTAAGTGGTAAATGAGAAAAACATTTTTTTAACATCATTTATTTTATAATACATATTTTATAATTAAAACATAAATTATTCCATTATTTTATCATTTGTAAATTAAAATTTTAAAGCCTACTTTTAAGTCCCTTGTTTTAACGCTTACAGATTATGTCTACAGTTTATAAATGAACTAACTAAACCTATACCATAAAAAATCATAAATGGGAAAATTAATATCAACGGAAATAGTATTAAATTCCCATTGACAATTTTTCCCAATGAAATTGTATTACTTACACTACGATTTTACGCTATATATGAACATACATTTCATACTGAAACACAATATTTTACTAGTTTCTGCATTTATCTCCGTACCGTCGACTGCAATCTTTCGAACCGCATATTAAGGAATTGCTGGTACCTTTACGCGTTTCGTATGGCTTTTGACCTAGGTAGTTGCCACTGGAACAAAAGTCATCAATCAGTATAACAAGCATTTACAATAGATTTTCTAAAGCTGGGATAACGTTTGGCATATTTTATGTAAGCGTTTTAACAAAATTATTTAGTCTCGAAGGTGACGCGACGCGAAGGTCTCGCCGGGCAGTGGTGTCAAATGTGAGACAATGATGTCCGTCAATTACTAAAAACTCATTCATTAGCGTTCCCCTAACTCTCGCAAAAGGTGAATAATACGATCGGTATTAGGCCATGATTGTCCCCTTTAGATCCTCACTAGGTACGGGAACTTTAAGTGGTCTCGTATTGTCATTATATAGACAAGAATTTGGGTATCAGCAGTGAGACATACATTTATAGCCTGTAACCTTACTTTTTTTTTGTTTACAATCGAATATAATCCCTATTACATACACAAAACTTAAAATTTCGGTTATTATTGAAACTCACCCTGGCCCGTAGTTGCAAACCACAAGGAATTCCTTCAAGTTGCCGTTTCCATACTGTGAAATTGCGCATCCGACGTACATCGTATTCGCCCAAGCCATCTAAAATTCATAATTATGTTAATTTTACACAATGACCATCACGTGGCGGAACAATTAAACAAAGAATTTTTACGCCACTGATTTTGCCGTACGTGAAGAATTACGTCAAGTTAATTCTTTTAAAAGTCTAGAGCCGTGACAGCTCAGTGTCCGGGCGCTCGCCTTTAATTCAATATACTCGAGCAACCTGAGTTCGATCCCCGGTGCCGGCACCAATGAAATTGTTAATTTCAAGTGCTGAATTATCACATTCTCAGCGGTGAAGGGAAACATCGTGAGGAAACCTCCATATTTTCTAAATAATAATAAAAAAAAAATATTTCGAAGATATGTGAAGTCCGCCAATCCGCAGTGGGGCCGTGTGGTGGACTATGCTCTGATACCCTCTGTACAGAGGAGGCCTTTGCCCGTGGGACATGTTTAGGCTGATACTTTACTTTACTAATTACTTTATTCTTTTAAAAATTCAATTAAAATTAGAAACAATTAAAATATACAAATGTTTCCCGTTCAAGACAACAGTGAATATTCTATTCTATTATTATTTGTTATCTATTTAAAAAAAAAATAACTGCCGCTTAAAATAAAAGAATAAATTCTTGTCCGGTGCTGGCTGGGGACGAACTCGCAAAACTAAGCGCGGCAGGCAGACTTGTGAGCTGTTAAAAAGATTTAGAGATATAAAGAATTACCAAGATAGATGTTTCGCAACACAAACAATGATTGACAAACGTTTTTGACGTTCGATAAGACCTTAAAATAACCCCATATTGAATATGAGTTTAACTTGACATACATCCGAACTTTCATGAGATCTCATTTGACAAAACTTAGAAAGCTTTTTGCAGGAGTTAACTCAGGATCGCGAGCCTATATTCTAGACGTGTAATTAGTGTTTACGGTTTTAAAGACATCCCTTTGAATTACGTGACAACTTTAAGTATGTAATAAAAGTCAAACCTGTGTATAATGGCCGATCTGATGTTTTGAAGAGCCGTCGAAGTTTCTCATTGTCAAGGGTGCGTAGGTATAATGACGATATTCATCAAACCACGACTTAAGGCAACTGTCGATATTTATTTTGTGATTAGGGCTTGTTGTTGCGTACCAGTATAGATTTTCGCCTGTGTTAAATCTGCGAGAACCTGAAATTTATTTCATACATGAATGAATTAAATCAGTTGAAATATTCTCAGGTGATGTATTTCTGTTGCCGCTATAACAATAAATACTAAAAAAAAAAAAAAACAGAATAAAAAATGTACTTTACCAATGGTTTTGTCAGGATTGTGAGCAAAATGATTTTTTGAAGCCCATTTCGCTGCTTTTGCCGCCAATTCGTCGTCCCAGACCTAAATTTGAAATGTTGCAAATGAATAAAACTATTACATTTGTATCGCGTTAAATAGATTTTTGAAGTCCCGGCGTTTCTAGCACTTCACACCAACGATGACTACGATAGGCTGTAGATGGAAACGATGCAGATTTAAAAAAAAAAGAAAACGCGGCAATCCCTAAAATAGTTTCATCTTATCTTTTGTACTATCCGCATAGTACAAGAAATATTTATACACACTCGTATAGAACTTTAACACGGACCTTATTGAAATCTAGTGATTACAAAATATGTCAAAAATGTCAATGACAATTAAGCTCTGATAACACAACAGCAAGAATGTAACATTTACGATTTTGTTTTTTGATTTGTGGAATGGGAAAAATTCATAAAATGTTTAATAAATGGTACTACAAAATGAAAAATTCCCCAAAAAAATGTTGTTTATGGACGGGTTTGTTATAATTATGTGTACAAATGAATACAATTATAAAATTAGTTTTTATTATAAGTAACTGAAATACTAATACTTATTTTACCGATATTTGCTTTTCTCTTATTTCGCCCAAAGAGATGTTAACACATTTAATTTCTGCTGATACCTATTATAAAATCACCTAACTTAAGGGAAAAATAATAGGCTCACCATTAACTTCATCCCTGATGCGGGAGGCTGTCCGGGAACTTGACCCTTCGCCAGCTGGAGTCTTCTGGAGTTGTGTCCGTCTACAAACGCTCGGATTTGTTTGCACGTCAAATTCATCACTGAAACATTCACGGCAGTTATCAGAGTCCTTCCATACTAGTATTTGAGAAAATACATTAATAAAAAAAGTAACTAAATCATGGCGACAATTTAAGAACACAAATATCATTACATTTCGCTTCAGCGAATCCGTTTGTGACGGCAAATAGAAGTATAACAATGAAATTCATCGTCACGGTGTATGGTGAGCGCTAGTAAGGCGAAACACTAACTGAGATTTGTGCACGGGGAACTTGCAATTAAATACTTACGTTTTATAGTAGACCCGCCGGCGTTCGGACGTTCGGAGGAAAAGAATGGTTTTGATGCTGATGATTCACGATTGTCACCGCCTCAGGGCGTTTAGGGTTGTCGCTCCGGTGAAAGTGGTACGTCGATATTCGTGGGATATTTGTAATTCATTCTTACGGGTCAACATCGGATGAGACATTTGCTGTTCCATTGCGCGGGTACTATCCGCCCGGCACAACTCAACAGTCGTAGATATCAAACGCTTTCACTTCGACCAAACACTCGAGAAGCAGTAATATAGTTTTGAAGTACATGTGGTATGTAGCGGGTAGTCAATTTTAAAATATCGAACGATGACTTACTTTTTAATCCCACGTTGTCTGTTAGCGTGTTGTTTCTTATCTATTCTGAGAATTTAGAATGAAATTTAGAATGGAGAAAGTGTCCGTTGGATTAACTACACCTGGTACCTACTCCTTATTCCTTAAATATTTACAATTACTGGTCTTAAGCACGACGCGTGACGAAACTGTTGAATAGATTTTGCCTCTGGATACACTAATTTGTTTAGTTTATTTATTAATATGTACAATTCTAATTTACAAATTTGAAAAGACGTCTGTTCCCAACGATTTTCTAAGATACAAATAATAGAAATGAGTATAACATAAAGTTAAATTTTAAACATGAGTTGTAAACACATTAATGGAGTAAAAAAAAAAAAAAAATGCATAAAGTTTAACGCTGAAAGCCACTACAAATGTACCAAGGAGACTAGTTCTCGATTTTAATAGCGAAAACTATTTATAACACTAAAATTTTTTAATCTTTTTATATGCCTTGACTTGTTTAAACCATTAAGGAAAATATATTGTAACTCCTGTATTAAAAATGTTATGATCCCAATTATTATTAATTTTCCACTGTATTTGTTTTAAAACTCTCGATACAAAAAAAAACCACAATTAACGCAGTTATGTTGTTTTAAATCAAGTCGAAGATACTTTTTGGATCGTTCCGAAAACCAATTCAAGAATCATGTTTTATTTGACCCTACAGTCAAGCAGAAGAATGTTCAAGTCTTCGTTTCTTAGTAAAAAGTTTACTTACGAACCGAAACCGTTGATGCCCGTTCAAACTAAAGTCTTATGAACCTATGTTTAATCTTCACTGATTAAACTCCTATTGAGACGAAAATGTGTGATAACCAGCAATTTTCCGTCATGTGTAGAGTAACACATGTTGGTAGTAACCAACAAAATTTTCATAATGACTGATACTGAACAAAAAGTAGTAGAAGTATTTTTTAACAATCACGTGGACAATCCAAAATTGTATACCGTAAAAGGTACGACCCCGTCGCGGTATACAGTTTTCGGTTTTATATTGTCCCCTTTTAAAGTTAAGTTTTAGGTGTTGTGTCTGGAAAAGAATGTTATCAGGCTTTAATTCCGCTCTTTGTTCAGTTTCGTTAAGGCGGTGAACGCTTTGTGAAGGTGTTCGCAATAATGCATACATAAATAAATTTCCCTCGCGATTACTAATTTATCTACCATCAAGTATTATAAATATTGTTTTTTTAAGTCTCCACGCTTGTGGTATTCTTAATTAGCTCCAAATTTTGACTGTGTACATTTCAATTGTAAATGAGAATCCGCGACGCCTTGAGGGTATTTGTCACCTTATCACATTATGCTAATAAAAGAGAAGACTTAAGATATCGCTCGTTTTAAGTAGACAACATTTTTTATAATGATATGATGAGTTTGATAAATACGGTAGCAGATGTTGTATGTTAAATGGTATTGAAGACAAAAGTATAGATACTAGGCATCGTTCATAAATTAAACAAAATTATTTGTTGTCTAAGGTTAATGAACGGGCTGGTTTTAAGTGTGTATTAAACTCCTGTAAAAGCCCGTCTGGATATAGATCACTTGGCAACCATATAGAATGCGGCCCCGGTTACATTACTCACCACAAAAAAGAAAAAGTATAAATAATTTTATTACACGCCGGTATTCAGGATGGCTGTGTTTTTTCTCCGCAGGAGCTAGTAGTGGGCTCTGCCGCTTTCTTTGGTTTCTGTGTGAATGGGTCCAAACAACGAACACGACGAACACGACCTGGTAAGAAACCGACGTAAAATAAAGGTATATTTTCGCTTTTGAGTATCTCTGATAAGTTTCTTTAATAAATCGTTCTGAGACCAGAATATCATAAAGTCAACCCTTTTATTTTAGCTGACATTATTATCAATAAGTCCAGCACGAACCTAGTCATTGAGTATCAATACGATTGCAGTGATACGAAGAGAACGTGACATGTTGCCTGCAAAATAATTTTACTTCACTACTTTTAATGTTCTTACTATGTCTTTCGCAAATATGGTCCCACCAAGTCTCCAAACTTTCTTTTATTAAAATTCCTTGGAACTTGATCACCGCAATCGTGTCAAGTGTCGTTGGCGTCCGTCGGTAACTTGACAAGCAGTTCAGGTAACATGCGTCAGTCAAACGTCGATTAGTTTCGACTCAAGAAACTATTTAATAATTCATTGAAAATTCAGAACCAGCATTATTAGCTGGATAATGGGGGCAAAGGAAATACCAAAGCGGGCGTTAATTTATAACAAAAACACTAAACATCAATCGACTACCTGGTAGAAAGCATCTCGTATGAGTCATTGGTTAATGACTTTCTTTAAAACATTTTTAACATTCATCCGATCTTGCATGTAGATACAACCATGTGAACCATGTATGTTTATAATTGAATATTGAAAAAACTGGCTGAGTCACGGTTTCTGTTATATTACGAATTACAAGTTTGTTTAAACGCACGACGCCAAATCGCTTGTCACAGCCAAACATAAAAAGAAGAAAAAAGGAACCATACTCGCCGCCTATATTCAAGTATATTCTATTCGCACCAGTTGACATGATGCGCAAATGCGCCCATTTAGTGCAGGTGTGTAATTAATTGCGGGACCAAGTATCAGACTCGATGGACATAGATAGAAATAGAGGTTATTTTTACAATTTTTTTTTTATGTTATTTATTTACTTAAAAACTTTTTGCACAATATATTAGATCACCAGTTAACCGACAAATTATTTTTAATATAATATTATATTTTTACAAAAAAAAACGTAAGATTATAATAAGTTCAAGTGATTACAAATCAATCGATTAAGTGTTTTAGGGGGCAAATGTCTTTTCGAAGCGTCTGATTCTGTCCTAAGATGAGAGAAAATTTTATAATATTATATGTTACTTCAGAAGGTAATAATATTAAATTGGTAATCATAATCCTACTTATGTCATTGCAGCCCACGACCTTAGATTTGATTGGTAGGATATTTTACGTGATTGTAACTGAACTCTAGTGATACTCTGAACGCCCATTGGCGGCGCTAATAAAGGTTACACTAACAAAACCGCTCATCTGTGCTCCATTTTGATCTCGGTTGTAGATGCACTGCCAACCATTAAAAAGTAGGCTCCGGTTACCATATCATATCATGATATTTGTCCGCACCGGCATCGACGACCTATTATGTCCTACGCATGCATGACCTTCGCCCACACGCACCCTACTCGCTTGTACAAGTTGCAAATAGTACAAAATAAGTTCATCCGCCGCGCAACCGGTGCGCTGTGGTATCAACGCAACGTCGACCTGCACTGCGATTGCAGACTCCCGACGATTCGCGAATATTTTAAAGACCTGACCAAACGGTTCTTCGATAGAGCCGAACATCATCCCAACCCTCTGGTGGTAAGCGCAGCAAATTACCAACCCGACACAAACGCGAACGTCAACAAGCGTCGCCCGCGAAACGTCCTCATTGACCCGGTCGAGGAAGGGGACTTAGATACGCCGGACCCACCGCCGGGGGTCCCACCGGATAACACTACACCCACAGTTAGTGCAACAACAAACATACTAGTTCGCCCTCGCCTCCGAGCACGGCGAGACCAACACAACGCGTACATAAGGTACACCCGCGTTCCGGGGCGGTTTTCACCGCTCCCAGCCACCGATTAGCTAATTGCACAGTCGACGGCCATCGGGATTTCGGTCCGAACCGCGACCTCGATGGCCCTTAGATGACACACCACACTTAAACGCACGCATGAGCACATGCGTGGCCCTACCCACAGCGGAGGGCCCAAACCCGTGGGTTCTGGCTAGCCCACCGGTTCTGCGTCAGATGAAGCTTTAATAGTCTCGGGACTGAAAGCACAAACATCAGTTAATACAAGATACAAGATACCGGCATCGTACCTATTTTGGAGTGCTAGGCACTTTAATAGGTTTCCACTTTCCAGTCTTCAACACCACACGTTGGCGGAAAGGAAGCTACTAAAGCAGAGGAATAAAAAAAAAGTTCTTGAATACACCAAACACCTACGAAACAACAACGAATAATACTATACAATCTAGGCTAAGAACATAAAAAATGATGTTAACAACCAATTAAGTATTAATTGATTATGTAAGCTTTTATACGGAATAAATTTAATATAATATCGTTCTGTTCTAATTATAATGATGATGATAGTTGAATTATTTTATAATTCGAAATAAAAAATAATAATACATAGTTATGTACATATTCCTTGTTTTTTAACTGTGGTAGGGCCACGCAGCAGCCTCGGCCGTTGCACGAATATGCAGGCTCGTCCGGGTACGAACTACGACCTCACAGAAGACCGGCGTGAAGTGGAAGTGTAATACTTTCGCGTTTCGTCTGGTGAGTGACGTAGCCGGAGCCCAACTTTCAAAAGGTGGTCATCGCAACTGCAACTCTTGTATGTAGCAGATGTCCATGGGCGGGGGTTTTCACTTCACATCAGGTGAATAGCCTGCTCGCTTGGTAACTTCTGTGAGGTCATGGTACTTACCCGGAAGAGCCTGCCCCTTTGTGCAAACAGCCGGACTGCTTCATGGTCCTACCACCGTTAAAATTGTTTATTAGATGACAGAGTTATTATCTGTAAGTTCCATAAGATTTTAACAGATGGCGATGTAAGGTAAATTTACCGGGTGGATTGAGTAAGTATCCAATAGATGGCGCTATGTTAAATGTCGAAACGTATGAAGTTGCCCGGCCAAAATGGCAACGACCCACTGCAGGCGACATCAACCGCCATACAATCGCTCAACACGGTTCGCAGAGACCCCCGAGACCTTAGAATAGTTTACTGGAATCCCGGCGGCATCAGACAGTGCGTCTCCGAGCTTAAAGGCGTCGTCAGGCAATATGACCTTCATGTTGTTTTTCTCGGCGAGACCAAGCTCTCGGCGACTGCTAAGTTGAGCATCCCCAACTTCTCTCGTTTCGCTCTTCTTCGTCTCGTTTGGACGAGGTCAATCCGGAGAACGGTCGTCCCTTTAGGGGGGTGGCCGCCCTCGTCCGCAGCGACCTAATACATAGCGAGTTGGGAGTGTTGGGACTGAACAGCTATGTCAGCACGCGCACTATTGGTGTGGCCGTATACATCGGCGGGCGGGAGATGCGTATTTACTCAGCATACCGGCCCCCAAATTGTAGATTCAGTTCTGCGGATATCCGCTCCATTTTTAATTCAGAAGTCCCCACTATTATCGCCGGGGACTTGAACGCTAAACATCTTTCTTGGGGGTCACGCATCATCTCGCCCGCAGGTAGGGCGCTGTTTGATGACGCAGGGGCGGCTGGGTATGAAGTGCTCTGACCGAGCGAGCTGACTCATATTCCATCCGCCCCGCATCCTAAATTCAGAACCGACTGGGTGGCCTACGGGAGATCGATGTCCGACTTCAAATACAGCGCAGCTATTTCAACTCCGGAGAACGTGGAGACTGCCGTCCACAACATCAGCTTTAAAATGCAGGAGGTGTTGGGTGCAACGACTTCGGAGGTGAGATATGTGAGCCGTAGGAACGCGCTCCCCGGTAGGCTACTCATTCGGGATAAAAGGCGTCTTCGGAGGCTTTGGGCCCGCACCAGGTGCCCGCGAATCAAGTCCAAATTAAATAAGCTCTCGGAAGAGCTCTCGATTGAGGTTAAGAACTATCATGATACTTTGTGGGAGGAGAGGATTGATGAGGCCGCCAGTTCCATGACCTCCTTGTACCAACTCAATCGGCAGCTCGCCCGTGTTCCACAGACCGCGTGCCCGCTTCTCGGGTCATATATGTATATCTATAAGGGTTCCTTTTTTATCAAGACATGGAATCCTAAAAAGTGTATACTATTAAAACAGTGATAGCCTCGGTAGCATGCTAAGTAATCGTTCATAATTTAACCATTGTTACAACCAACAAAAAAAACAACAAACATGCTAGAAGGACATGTATGGCGTACGCGTTATATAATACTGGGGTAGAGACATGAGCAAACTTCTGCTATCGCATAAATGGGTGTCACTTTGTCTGGAAAGTCCCACGGCTTTCCAGAAACCTAGGTTAAAGTAGAAGATTCTGACGCCTTTATCAAGGTTTTTATCCAATTCAAATTCCTCAATTTCAATCCCTTAATATCAGGTGAACAGCACGCTCGCGCCATCTTCTACCCTAACGATGTACAGGCAGTTTTAAAGTCGTAAATATGATATTCTTATAGTTTACGAATTCGAAAATTCAACAGACGGTGGAACTGTCTCTGTGTACAGGGTGCAAACGCAATTGGCAATCATGCTAAGCGAATGAGGAAGAAAAAAAACACTGGGTATTTGATTTCGTTCAAGATTTAAAAGTCGATAATAGTAAAAGTGTGATAGTATTCATGTGTTGGGAATCGATGAATGGCTCAGGATCAGTTTTATGTCCAGTAGTGGACTTAAAAAGGCTGAAATAATGATGGCGACGAGTAGGAAAGTAAGATCATAGTCCATAGGTCTCGTACTTTCAATTCGTTTTAAAATAAACAGAGTTTGAAATAAACCGAGAGGGACATGTTCGTTACAATGACAGGAAAAAAGTTGCTACAGTAACTTAACTAAATATAAAAATATTACATTAATTTTGTCTTGTTATCATTATTGAATTCATGATGAATTTTTACCTAAAGGACCGAGGACTTAGTAAAACCTAATCAGACACAAAAGTCTCTAGAAATCTAGACTTTCTACCTATTAAATATTCATAATTAGGGATTGAATCAAAGTTTATGATTAAAAAGTTAAATATAATATAGTATTTTAATACGCGATCTATAGATAAAAAGATACATAGATATACACACACGCGTCACGAATATAAGGCGTGCCTTATCGCTTAAAATTAAACAACAAGCTACTGTCAATATTGTCTTTATTCTTATTATCTGAATAAATAACGTTATAGTCATAAATTATTTTCTAACTTGACAAGAAGATGGATTTTAATAAATAGTTAAAGTAAACAAATAAAGAAGCACGCAGAGTGAACTTCAGCATTTATCACCGTAAGGCTTACGGCACGCTTCTGACTCGCATACAAGGGAATGGCTTGCACCTCTGTCTGTCCTGTACGGTGTGTCGTCTAAGTAGTTTCCGCTGTAAACATATTATTCACTATAGTCTATGCAAATGCGTAATGATATCCACAGATTAGAATAAGTAAAATTCGTAAGTTGGGATCGACCCTCCATACAAAAGTATTGGACACAAAGTTCACTTTGTAATATATAAAATAAACCATAAAATCTAATATTCAATGTCATAATGAAGTTAAACGATGTTATTTTTTATTTCTCGCGGTCCACGAATTAGATTGCTTCGTTTACGTTTTTAACGATTACTTCATGTATTTCCGCTTCAATCGTACATTAAATTTCGATTAAAGAAAAGAAATAAAAATTCTAGGAACAAATAACGGAATCATTATAAAACGATTACCAAATGTTTTGCGTGTGGCCTTCAGAAGATGAAATAAGCAAATGTAAAACACAGTACTTCTAAATTGCCTCAAGGGATTTTACCTAATTGCACTTGATCTTACCAATTGCTCTCGTAGTTATAGCTATTACTCACCCAGGACCATAATTGCAGACCACAAGGAAATCTTTCATTTTACCCTCCCAATACTGTGATATTGCGCATCCAACGTACTTCGTGTCCGCCCAAGCCATCTGAAATTGTTTCAACTTTTATAATTTAAACTTAAAAGCGATGAAAGGCAACTCCGAGAAATTGATCGTGAAATAAAAATTTAAATGAATAGCGCCACCATTTTTGTTTCCTTGTTTTAACAATACATTCATATCAATGAAAATAGGTGATAATTTCATCATGAGACCTCAATGAAGACATCATACGGGCCGGTCATCTTCTATAATTTACCGAAAAATCTCTAAATCAGAAAAATTATATGTATATAGAATACGGTCGTAAATAATCGCTACAATAAAATCTTTATTCTATAACTTTAGTCGTATTCCGATTATTCACGCAGAATGAAAATGAAAGAGTTTGAACGAATTTCATTAAGACATATTATTAAGCGGCGATTTAGTCTTATTTAGTTTCTATAAGTAGAATAATTTGCACAACTTGATAAATGTTAACGCTTAACGCTATATTTACGAGTATTTATTTACCTGTGTGTAATGCCCTATTTGATACTGTGACGAGCCGTCGAATTGGCTCTCCTTCAGAGGTCCGAAAGTGTAGTGTTCATACTCATCGAACCAGGACTTGAGGCTGCTGTCTACATCTATTTTGTGCTTGCTATCTGTCGTCCCGTACCAGTAGAGGTTTTCACCAGTTTTGAATCTGCCGGTGCCTAAAGAAAACGATCACAGCGATTACCTATCTCATTCAAATTGAACGCAAAAAAATGTTTTACGGATACCGTCGCGTGCAATTCTTTGAATAACTTTAATTACTCATCATACTCTTGCCCTTTCCCATTAGGTGATTTAGCACAAACGTGAATCTTTTTGTAAGCGGTTTTAGCTATTTTTTATGGCTTCTTGATTTCATCCCCGGAACAATTATCTGCGGGGCACACAGAAATTTGCCCCGTGTGAGAATCGAACCCACGAAGTTCTTCCGGTTCCGAAGCAACTGCGCCTCCGAGTCATCAGTTGTTACTAAATATCGCAATAAATACCAAATAAAGATAAAGACGATAACAGAATTACTGTGGTAATGTTTACACAAAATGTCTCTTTGTAAAAACGAAGTAAATATATTTACACTAAGCTGTATAAACACTCACGTCCGGCAATTCGTTAAATGACATGCAATAAGAAGTGCATTCATTTGAAGTAAGTACATTAAAATATATTTATACATCCTAACAAAACATAATCAGTTATTTATAATAATAAATAAGCAGGAGATGTTATGGTTATACATAATTTTGTCTTAAAATTGTCATAATGCCCATAATTAATTAATAAACTGTTATTAAGAACGCTAATTAACGCAGACAACCCTAAAGTTTAAGTCACAAGTTACTAAAATTCCCGATAAAAGCCTGCAATTTGATCATAATCGTAAAGCTGTATCGTAATGGCTGTTTGTATTGGGTAATGATCGCGCGTTAAAAGCATTGGCTATAAAACAATATTCATAAACAGTCCTCGCATACCATTAGTAGGCTACATTACATACATACACTACATGCCTATTTAATCTAATTTAATTACGTACGGAATAATTGAAGTAATTTAAAAAAACTTTTAAAAAACTAAATAGGTTTTGAATTGAAGTTATTTTAAAGTATACACAACTTTACCAATACTTTTGTCCGGATTATGAGTGAATTCATTTCTAGACGCCCATTTCGCAGCTTTTGCGGCCAACTCGTCATCCCAAACCTATATAGAAAAAAATATCTTTAGTTGGAAACGATTCAAAAAAAATATTTACAGGAAAGTTAAGTAGAGTATCAGTAAATAAATCCTATTTTACGGATTGAAACGGACGTTTTACAGCCTTCATGGTCATGGAAGAGCTGATAAATTGAGATACAATAAAGATTTCAATGAATAGATTAGAAAATTTATGAAAACATATACACGAGTTTAATTTGGTTTTTATTATTAAGGGAGAGAATTTTCTTTGCTTTGGATGAAATAGATCATTATAATAATATCTCGGATACGTATATCATCTTGGGCGAAGGTCTTCGAAATCAGTCCATAAACAAACAGAAAAATATATTTTTTTTAATTCTAAAAGAGCTAAGAAAAATCAAAACTACATAATTATACACTTTATTATTCAATACCCAAAAATAGCCTAACCAATACACCTTAAATCTAAAGCCTAAAAACATAGATAATTGGCGAAATTCCACCAACTCACCATCAATTTCATTTCCGAAGCCGCTGGTTGTCCAGGCACCTCCCCCTTTGCCAGCTGGAGCCTCCGCGAATTGTGCCCATCGACGAAAGCACGGATTTGTTTGCACGACAAATTTAATACTGTAACGATTTAAAGAAATTATCAAACTGAATTTTCACATTGCTATATTTTAAAAAAAAACTGCCAACGACACGTACATTTCGACTGCACAAGACCGCATAAAGCGAAAAGAAAGACAACATTGAACTGCATTGTTACGTAGTCTATGGACGGCAGTAAAGCAATGCGGCGACTGAGAATTAGTACGGACTGCGCTCGCAATTAAGTACTTGATAGTAGAACAGCTTTTGAAGATGAGAATATTGAAGCGTGCCCCGATCTAAGCTACCGCCTTAGCATAGGGTTTTAGGGTTGTCCTTACGAAGAGAATTATTTAGTATGTGGTGATAAAACAAGGAAAGTTTGTACCATTTATTTTGTAGATCTTATCAATATGCGTCCGATTTTACATTTAAAGTTTATAAAAAAACGTGGGCAATGAATAACAATCAGTTACGATCTAAAGAATTGTACTAAAATGATTCAATATAATAGGACCGACATAAAATACGTTTCATCGCATTAGTGAATCACAGTTGGATTTTCAGAACAAATCACACAGGAAGGTCTGCATCATGCGTAGCAAAACAGGCACGAGTTTGTTGATAACAAGTTGAAATAGGTGAACTAAGTATTTGTCACTGAAAGACGTAATCTACTAAGTTAATATACATATTGTAAGCTACAATGTTCGAATGTTTATATTTTATAAGCATAATGTGTCGCTGTTCCTTTTCATTGTTTCTCGTTATATTGATATGAAACCGCTTGCATTTTGTTATATATCCCGATGGTGATTGTTCGATGCGGTGGCAGATTAATAAAACATAAAACATCACACGCAACGACGACGGGCTGATGTCAATAACCTGTTAGCGATCGCGTGGCTTATCTTGAGTTATTCCTTGAAGGTAGGATTTAGTGTTGAATCTAGAAAACTTATTTTCGATGCAATATAACAAAAGATCAAAGCAGCAATACAATGTTTGAAAAGAAGATAATCTCAAAAAGATCTAGGAAATCTCATCAAGTTCCCTTAGTTTTACATAATTAAGTACTATATTCCTAAACGATGGTTGGTAATTTGATAGTTTACAAAGTTTTATAATAAGCGGGATGGTAAGGTAGAATGCGTGGTTTCCTATGGGCCTAAGATTCACTAAAATATAATTAATTAGCTGCTGCCCTCAACAACGTCTGCGTAGAATAGGCTGAAGGCGTAAAATTCAGACAGAAAGACAAATTATAGCCTATGTCTTATCAGAATAAGACATAGGCTATATTATTGTAAAGTTTCATTAAAAGCCATTCAGTAGAATTTGCGTGAAAGAGTAACAAACATCCATCCATACATACAAACTTTCGCCTTTATAATATTAGTAAGGATGAATTTTAAATTCTAATTAATGTGCACTTTCTAAACATTTTTGTTTTTGTTTCAAAAATGATTGGAAACTCTTTATTGTAAAGTATTAGATGTGATGAGAAATATGAATAATGTTATAATAATTTATTCGCTACTAAGTATATCGGGCAAAAATCACTTTTGATAATTTGATATTTGCCCCGCTAAGTTGCGATAGGTTTACAATCTGACACATTAGGACACATTTAGCTCGTTGTATGAAATGAATGTTGTGAACTCACATTTTTCACACCTTGCATGGAAAACAAAAATAAAGACGTGGAGCGAGTGAGTTTAATTTAATTAATGAGTTTATTACAAATATATTTACTAAAAAAATTCAAAATATTATTAAACATACTTCTTGAACTTCAATATAAATATTTTACATTTTCCTTAAATATGACAGAGCAAGATAGACAGCATGGAAAATTGCTTTAACGTGCTGTGAGCGAAATAATTGTATCTTCAAAACATGCTTACCGTGTATTGTTTTTTCAAATCAACGTCTTGTTAAACATATCAGTTATGTGACACAGTGACGAATTGTTCGGTAAGGAGTCATTGAGAAAATTTATTTGTATTAATAACAATAATACACACGTAAACATGTGTTTTCATAATGGTCTATTTTATAAAAATGCTACACAAAAAAGACAAACAGTGAGAAAAGTTTTTCTTTGGGTAGATTAAATCATCATCATTTCAGCCTGTTTGAGTCCACTGCTGAACATAGGCCTCCCCCATAGACTGCCACGAAGTACGATCCTGAGCCACCTGCATCCATCGACTTCCCGCACATTTGCACAGGTCGTCACTCCATCTAGTGGGGGGTCGTCGCACACTGCGATGGCCAGTACGAGGCTGCCACTCGAGAACCTTTCTTCCCCAACGGTTATCGGTTCTACGAGCTATATGGCCGGCCCATCGCCACTTCAGCTTACTAATCCTCTGAGCTATGTCGGTCACCTTAGTTCTACTGCGGATGTCTTCGTTACGAACTCTATCACGTAGAGAAATACCGAGCATAGCCCGCTCCATAGCTCGTTGAGCGACTTTGAGCTTCCTCATACGGCCAGCAGTGAAGGACCACCGTTCCGTAGGTCATCACTGGCAACACACATTGATTGAAGACTTTAGTCTTCAAACATTGAGGTATATTTGACGAGAAGATTTGCCGTAGTTTCCCGAACGCTGCCCATCCGAGTTGGATTCGCCGATTGACCTCTGCGTCGAAGTTGGACTTACCTAGCCGGACTAACTGTCCTAGGTAAATGTACTCGTCAACAACTTCGAGCTCAGTGCTCCCAACAATAACCGGTATTGGCGTAACATGGACATTAGACATGATCTTCGTCTTGTCCATGTTCATCTTAAGGCCCACCCGTTGGGAGACACTGTTAAGGTCATTGAGCATAGTACTAAGGTCCTCCAGCGATTCTGCCATGATGACTATATCGTCGGCAAATCGGGTGGGTGATGTATTCGCCATTGATGTTAATACCTCGTCCTTTCCAGTCCAGAAGCTTGAAAACATCTTCCAACGCAGCGGTGAAGAGTTTCGGGGATATGACATCACCCTGTCTTACACCCTTCTGCAGTTGGATAGGTTTTGTACTACTGGACTGTACTTGGACGGACATCGTAGCCTTGTTATACAAACACCTCAGCACCTCGATATACCGACAGTCAATTTGGCACCGCTGAAGAGCCTTATGAGCCGAATTTCGACAGAATCGAAGGCTTTCTCATAGTCCACATACGCTAGGCACAAAGGCAGATTATACTCTTCGGTCTTCTGTATAATCTGCCGCAAGGTGTGTATGTGGTCTATGGTACTGAAGCCTTTTCGGAATCCGGCTTGTTCGGGAGGCTGGAAGTCGTCGAGTCTGGAAGCGAGACGATTCAAGATGACTCTTGAGAACAGCACATAGACGCGGCTCAGAAGGGATATCGGTCTATAGTTCTTCAAGAGAGCGTTATCGCCTTTCTTGAAGAACAGCACCACCACACTTCTGCTCCACGCCTCTGGTGTAGCACCACCCTGAAGGACGGAATTAAAGAGCCTCTGAAGGACTACAAGTAGCGGTTCTCCACCCGCTTTCAGAAGCTCTGCTGTAATTCCGTCCTCTCCTGATGCTTTGCCATTCTTAAGATGGTCAAGAGCCATTCTAATCTCGCTCAGACTGACGTCCGGGATATTATCGGAATAGTGTCGGATAAGCTTTGCTCTTGGGTCGTTACTCACACATGTGTGTGGCTCCAACGACGATGTGTACAGCTGTCCATAGAACCTCTCTATCTCACTCAAAACCTCTGGTCTACTGGAGATGATAACGCCGCTGTCAGTCTTCAATTTAGTCAGTTGGCTTTGTCCGATAGACAGATCTCTGGCGAAGACTTTTGAGCCTAGGTTCCGCTCTATAGCTCCCTCAATACGACCTGTATTGAAGTTGCGTAAGTCTCGCCGCATGTATTGGGAGATCTGCCTATTAAGCCGCCTGTAGTCCGACATGTCAGTTAAAGACTGCAACCGCATCTCTCGTCTTTTTCCCAAGAGGTTGAGAGTGTGATCAGAGAGTTTTTGGGTTCTATTTTTGCGACGGGCAAAATTGGCAATTTAAAATTTAAGGCCCGCGGCATGGACAGTTTCCACGAGCTTTGCATTAATATCGTCCACCGTGCTGCAATTTTCTAGGCATTGGAAACGATTATGTAGCTCGAGCTGAAAGCTTTCGGAGTTCTGGATATGGGCACGAGATGGTCGGAGTGTGGACTTCATCAGACGAGATCTTTCCAGCCTAATGTTAATATTCAATGTGCCTCTCACTAATCGGTGATCACTTCCGGTCTTCACCCTTGTGATCACAGAGACATCATTGAATATTTGCCGTTTGTTCGTCATAATGAAGTCTATCTCGTTTTTTACAGAACCATCGGATAAAACCATAGATTAAATATTTCTTTCTAATATCCATCAACAAAATCATTATTACAGCCGAAAATTAGCCATTGTTGAACAAAGGCCATTTACAAAATCGGGAAGAAAACAATTTGCTCATTTCTGTAAAGTTGAAAATCTGTAATAACGGTCGTATGATATACAAATAACATATTTATATTGCGATAAAAATAGTGAATTTGTTAAGAACAGCAACAGTAACGTGTTAAAAAACAAACTCATTTTTAAAGTACATAAATTGGTTTCATTTGTCACATGCTCACCGGTGAAGGAATACATCGTGAGGCAATCTGAATGTTTTCGAAATAAGAACGAATAAAAGAAAAATATTTCAAAGACAATAATTATGTGAAGTCTGCCAATAAACAACATGGGTGCGTGGTCACCCTAATACCCTCTTCAAATAGAAGGCCTTCCCCCGCCAGAGGAACATATACACACATACACAGGTACAGGCTGTTTATTACTTTACCATACTTTTTATTTTGTATTTCATAAGTAAAAACCAACAACCACAACCAGTTGGTATACCTACTATGTCTGTAGCCATCTCAAAATAAGGTCACACTAAGCTGACATACAAATATTTACTGAATACGAGTGAAATAATCGTTATTACAAACAAAGCATTGAGATAATAAACGACTGGATATTAATGGTAATCAATTAAAAAAGACATTACATTTTATTGATGATCTCGGAATGCAACGAATGCACTTTTTACTGCACCGTTTCACGTCTTTATTATCTGTGTATCATTCGGGTAAAAAACATTAATCTCCTCTT